GACCCTGCAGCTGTCGAACAAGGGCATGAAGATTATTCAAATTCTCAGCGTTCCGCGAAAGTCCTCCTCCTCCTCTCTGTCCAACTCGCTGAAGAGTGAGCAGGTGAAGCACCACATTCCNAGAGGCGACCAGTACGTCACCCCGGTGCTGCACTACCTCCTCGAGGGCGAGTCAGCAGGAGGCAGCGGCAGCCCTTTGGAGCACCCCTCCAAGGTGACCCTGCAGCTGTCGAACAAGGGCATGAAGATTATTCAAATTCTCAGCGTTCCGCGAAAGTCCTCCTCCTCCTCTCTGTCCAACTCGCTGAAGAGTGAGCAGGTGAAGCACCACATTCCGCATGACTCCATTACCTGGGTGTACCAGTCGGAGGACGTCATCTGCGCCATTCTCCTGCTCTACAATCCGCGCACCCGATGTCCGGTGCACGTACACGCCTATCGCTGTGACTCGGTGGAGACGGCGGACAGTCTGCGGGAGCAGCTGCAGACGCTCGTTTCTCGCCCGGAGAATCAGAAGAAGTTTCACGACATTGAGTGCCGACTGTACGCCAAAGGACTGCTCCTATTGCCGGCTCCTGCTCATGCTGCGACTCCAGGAAATGGCCGAAACTACGAAGAGGAGGTGGAGCAGGTGCATGTTCCGTTTCCTTTACAGATGACCCGATCAGTGACGGGCAGTCAGCCATCCCCGCCGTCGTACAAGCAGCACTGTAGTGTGAGCACCAGCAAGTCGGCACTGAACTCTGACGGACAGTCCACGCGCACGGAAGGCTCCGATGAGAACTCGGAAGAGTTCGCTAATGATCTTCGCTATGTGATTCGCTCAAAAAATGTCATGATCAACAGAGCAAATGAAGCGTCGCCACTGTTGCCGCCGTTGCCCTTTTCATCTGCGCTAGAGGACGTTCCAACACGAAGCAGTCATAGTAATCTTTTAAAGCACAAAAATGCTAAGAAACCGGGAAAACCTGCAGCTAATCTGCCCTTTGAAGAGGCGTTGCCCGCTGAAGCTTTGCGGCCTGTCGCTCTCTACGACTCACTGGCGGCTGAACTTCGTGCCAAACTGGGCAACCCAAAGATGGGCCCACTTCTTCTGCCGCCGCGAGACTATGAATCAGAACGTGGCCAGGGTGAGAAAAGTGCACCGACTCACCTGAAAAGTGCCCAACCTAAAGGTGCCGTACAGTACCCGCTGAGTAGATCCGAGTCGAGTGGCCAGTCCTCCAGTGGTATTGGCAGTGATGAGGCACTTTCCAATGGCAATCAACGGCAGAGACAGTCATCATCATCTAGTGCCTACTACGACAGAGAGGACAACCATCATCATCAACACCACCATCCACTTTCCCAGCAGCAGCACCACCACCGAGACATTGACATCGACCGGCACAAACGGTCAACTAGTTTCATCTTTGGCGACCATCAGTCAGAAAGTAGACTGCCACCACTGTACCACAGTTTTCCACTGAACGACAGCTACGTCAGCGACTCTGATGACGACGAGGAGAACGATGACTACCACCGCCACCCAGTAAGTGACAGTGCAGATGAGGTGGACACTGAGGACATTGAAGAGGACGTCTTCTTCACTGCCAACTTCAACAGTAGGTCTAAATCGGCCTATGATCTTTCGCATCTGGCACAAGTGAGTGGTAAGCAGTCCGCTTATGAGTCAAAGCACTACCGCGAATACCACCACCATCAACAGCAGCAACAACAGCCACTGCAGCCACGGCACCATCAACGGCCACTGTCATATGCTCCGCCACCTGACATCGACCATCATCTGTCATACGCTGAGCACAGGTCAGGCGCACATCGTGAGCGACAATCACAACAACAACAACAACAGCAGCAGCAGCACATCACACCTTTGTCCAGTGCCTCTAATCCGAACCTATCTCGAATCAGCAGGCAGCAAAAGGAGGTCAGGCAAACAACGACAGTCAGTGATAAATCTGCTTACGTTATGGGTAGACGGAGAGAGCGTTCAGTGCAGCAGCAGCAGCAGCTACAGCCACCGCCGGCGCATCTTCATCTCATCAGCCCATCATCATCATCAGCGGCGGCGGCAGTGAGCAGCAGTCGAACAGTGCAGCCACTGATGCTACCGCAAAAGTTTTTCTACTCTGCCGATGCTCCCGACTACGGCGAGGTAGCAAAGTCGCGTGCCAAAGCGAAGGGCCACCATGAGAAAGCTCAGCATCAACAGCAATATCATGCATTTGTCAACTGGCATTCGATGCATTGAGAAGCGATCATCATCTTCATCCTCATCATCACCACCGCCGCCGCCGCCATCCGCTAGACGACAGGGGCACGGCACGGAAATGAACACAGGCACACACACACGCAGTGCACAGTGCACGGTGCACGGTGCACACTGGCACACTCACACTGCGAGGACAAATTACCGGCAAAGACAAATGATGTGCCTTTCGACAAGGAGCGAACAGCAGCTCTCTGCACTGGCACTGCCACTGATGTCCATTGTTTCACTCCTCATCATCTGCCTCCACTGTGCGCAGCATTTGATTGCCCTCTGCATTTTTCACCACCTATTTATGATCCTCTCTGATTGGCCTTATATACACACTCACACATACACACTCTCGTCTTCTCTCTCTCTCCATCTCCCCTTTCCGTCCAACGAGCGCAGATGATAACAAATAAACTCTGGACAATACAACTTCTGCAGCGCACAGCGAAAGGATTTGCAATGGTCGATTTCGTCTGTCCAGTGCACTGCCGTCCTGCTGTATCTCTGCTGTGTCTTTGTTGCGTATCTCTGCCAGTCATTAGATGGCCCATTGGCCTTATTATATACAAATGCGCCGTTCATGCTAATATATCCTTCTCCTTCTCCGCCTTCTTCCTCAGAGTCATATACTGCCTGCCACCACCACCACCTGCCATGGTGTTGCTGTTCAGCACTTTGTCGCCGGCCACTTTCACAGCTTCACAGGCTGTGACAAATGGGCAGCCAGCAGCGGTCAGCAGCAGCAGCAGCAAAATCACTGGGCAGTAAAACCGGGCGCACAACTGCTGTTGACCAGCAAATGTGTGGGGAAGGAGCAGTGGGCAAAGAGGACAACACCGACGGCAGCACGACTCGGTCATTTGTTGCTGCACTCTGATCATGGTGGGTCGATTTCCTTCACTGCCAGTGACCGAATTCGCTGACCGTGTCACCGTCGCCCTCCACACACACCGATAGTCAATGTAGCTCCTGCTCATTGTAATTAATGTTGGCAACAGCCAAGGCAGCAGCAGTGAACTCGACACCTTTAATTAAGGCGAGCCTGAGCACTCGCTGGTGGTAGAGAGTGAATGGCAGTCAACTGTAATGGCGGAATGAGAGTGAGCACCGTCAGTCAGTCAGTNAATAGTCGATGTAGCTCCTGCTCATTGTAATTAATGTTGGCAACAGCCAAGGCAGCGCAATGTGAACTCGACACCTTTAATTAAGGCGAGCCTGAGCACTCGCTGGTGGTAGAGAGTGAATGGCAGTCAACTGTAATGGCGGAATGAGAGTGAGCACCGTCAGTCAGTCAGATGTGATAATAATAGATGAGCATTGGAAAGCAATAAAACTTGGAGGTTTCTTTCGACTTTGGCAACAAGCAAAAAATTAACCGCTTGCAAAAACGAATGAAATGCTTCTGGCAACTTTCCCGGTGGTTTTGTCTGGAACATTTCCATGCCGCAAACAGAAAAACAGAAAAAATCGGCTGCTGCTGCGATTGTACGGCTCACCGCTAATCTTTGGGTCAAATTCACGCGTTCCGACAGATTATTCTCCCTAATTTCTCACCCAATTTAAAAACATGTTGTCAAGACAGTTTCTCGGTCACGTTGCTCGGTGCAGTCGTTCGGTTCATCTAGTGCACAGGTATCTATCGGGATTCTCTTCCAAAGAATTCTCTATTTACATTCGGGTTTTCATTTCGTCCTTTAGAAGTATGACACTTTCGGCCGTTCGTTTATCACCGGCTGCTGCCCAAGCGGCGGCTGACGCTCCAGTAATGGCGCCAACTGAAGTTGACCCTAAAATTCGAGACATTGTCGGTCAGATTGCGAAGCTTACACTTCTCGAGGTGGCTGAACTGAACCAAGCACTGAAGGAGACGCTCAAAATTCCCGATGCCCCGGTCATGTCTTTTGCTGCTGGAGCTGTGCCTGCTTCCGGAGCGGCCAAAGCAGAGGTAACAAATGTTTTGGTGAAAACGTTTTGAAAATACGCTTTTCTAAATAATCCTCTTCACTCACCAGGATGAAGATGCCGATAATGCCAAGACTGTGCAGACTGCTTTCACCCTCAAAGTTACCAAGTTTGATGAAACTAAAAAAGTCGCTCTCATCAAGGAGATCAAGAACCTCGTAGAAGGTCTTAATTTGGTCCAGGTAAACATGTTCAGACTGCAAACAAATATTGTGTTATTTTAACACTTTGTTCTTTTTAGGCCAAGAAATTCGTCGAATCAGTGCCTCAAGTAGTAAAGAGCAATATCTCCAAGGATGAAGCTGAAAAGCTCAAAGCCTCACTCGAAGCAACGGGTGCTACCTGTGTGATCGACTAGTGCGAACCCCATCAATAAAAAGTTCTTCAGTTTATCCAACATTTTGTTACTGCGGGCACTTAGCCTACCTTAGTTTCTTGAAGTCACTACTACTTTTTCTAATTACCTTTGTGTACATCATTTTGTAGATTACTAATAAAGCCTTGATAATGAAAACCTTTAAAATAATGCTCAAATAGCGGTAATGAACTCCATTGATACTGAACTCTCAAAGGGTTTTTGTGAGCGTTCCACATTGAAATGAAAATAGCCATAAGTTGCGGCAATTTTGACACTGCCCCTCGTGGATTTTCTCCGCGGCATTTTTGTCAGCTGATGACATTTTCACTCTCACATGAAAGTTGAATTTTGTTTTTCAAATCATGCAAATGTACTTTTAGCTAAACTTGTTGTCCCACATCTATCTTCACCAGCTCAACCATGAGGTATGAATGTTCTGTTACCTGTATACATTTCACTTGACACGTTTTTTCTCTCCTCACAGCAATTCAAATGACAGGGAATACCTCAAGCGGAGAGCAGTTGTGGCATCTGCAAAGAACGCTCCGTTTTGGGGTGGAATCAATATGTTGTCTTTCGTCATCTGTTTAACCGACTTGTAAGTGTATTGGGAAAAGGTTCAAATGATAAAATTGTTAATTATGATTTTTCATTCAGCAAATACTCAATTATTTCATCGCTCTTTCACTTGCATTTGCTTGAGGACTTTCTCGCAATTTTCGGTTTGTTTTCATTGCTTACAAGTTTTATCATTTGAGTAAAAACATTTTCTTTTACAGACTTTGCCTTGATGCTGCTATTTTTCGTCAACTTCATCTACAATACCTGGCTGTTTTTGTGGTTCAAGAAGTTTATGCAACCAATTGAACTTACTTCCAATGAGTTTCTCCTGTTTGGCATTTCTCCTCAAGAGATAGGTTTCAAATTGAAGGTTGAGGAGCCAAAGCCGGCATTGTTGAATGTTTCCACTGCATCACTGAAAGCCGACGTCCTCTTCAGTACGCCATCAAAGAATCACTCATTCAATACTTCCTTCAACACTTCTTTCAACAAATCTGCCAACAATCTGTCAAACAATATCTCAAACATGTCTAACAACATGTCACCGTTTTCAAGTCCACAGCAGATTCATCAGCAACAGTTTCAACAAAAACTACTTTTCCAACACACAAACAGTCCAACTGTTGCTGATCTTAGTGTGGGCAGCAGCTTCAACGTATCCCAAGAACTAAATGAACCTTTTCCAGAGTATCGACCAGCCATTAAAGTGTCATCTCTTCCCAGCAGTCCTGAAAAGGCGGAATCAATCAGCTTTAGCCATTCTCCCACCATAATGCAGGTGCTCAACAAGCTAAATGTCGATGACAGTCGACTAATGCAGATGGTGGAGAATATTCGTAAATGGATCTCACAAACAATTCTCGTACGACTTGCCGCCGAAATTGATGCTATCAACAAAATCATTGCAGAAAAAGGCTTCATTGACTCATCTATTGGAGGTACCGTTTTATTATGTGCGTTGTATTTTATAATTATCATTTTTCTTTAGAAACGACAATTCAGCATCTTAAGCAATTAGCAAGTGCCAAAAAGACTGACTTTCCAACACTAGAGCAAGTGTGCGCTTTTCTTGACATAAACTCGCCAACCATTGAAAACAACATCACTCTGCAGAAGTACCTGGTTCGGCGAGTGAAGGACCTCGCCAAAGGCGGCTGCATCACAGAGTTTCTCTGGGACGGTGGAGGCAGTTACAATTACAAACACTGGAAAGAGGACATGCTCACTGATTCGGAAATTATTTTGCACCTCTTTTGTGTGTACATGGACTCGAGATTACTGTTCAATCCGATCGTCCCTGAAGGAAAACCCTTTACAAGTCAGCACTTGAAGCTTCACAATGGCCCAACTCCCAAATCGGACACTTACATTCAGCAGATTAAGACTTACCCGCCGTATTACTCACTCGTGCTAAAGGGTGAAACTTTGGATCTGCCACCAGGTCGTAATAATCTTTTTTACGCACTGCTGGTGTTTATTCATCACATCAAAGTCAAGAACTTTGGTCTTTTAGGGTAAGAGAATGATTTATAAAACATTGAAACATCTTACATTTATTTTATCTTTATAGTCGCATTAATCTTGGACCATCTGGACTGAACATTGCCTGGGTTATTGACAAATAAAGACCAAATGGTCATTGTGTAGATATCATTTGATATCATCTAGATTGTATCTCTGAGATTCTTGTATAATTTGCTCATTTTCATTTGTATTTTGTGAAATAAAATTTTTAAATCACGAATATTACGTTGTTTGTGAAAGTGTCGCTTTACATTTTTGTGTTTTTCTCTGAAGACTTGCGTTTGTTTTCTTGTTAACGTTCATTTCCAAAATGGATTTGCACAACGATCAGCACGCTGGAGCCTCGATGACCAACGGAACGATGAGTGAAGACACCAAAAACGGTATTCTAAACAACATTCCACGACCGCCAGTGATTCCTCTCGATAAGCAACGCCTGCAGGAGCTAGTGCACGAGGTGGACCCGAATGAGCACCTAGAAGAAGAGGTAGAAGATGTACTCCTTTCACTGGCAGACGATTTCATCGACTCACTGGTCACCTCCAGCTGTATGATTGCCAAGCACAGAAAGTCAAACACGTTAGAAGTGAAGGACGTGCAGCTTGCCCTCGAAAAGAACTGGAACATGTGGATACCTGGTTTTGGCGTCGATGGAGTTGTTGGTGTGTACAGCGGCACAACAGGGACCGGTCAGGGTACCGGGGCAGCGGCTACGGCTGCAGCCAACTCTAAACCAAAGAAGTGCTTCACCACAGAAGCACACAAACAACGATTAGCGCTTATCAAGAAAACAATCAAAAAGTTTTGAAAGAGTGCTACTGTTGCTGCTCCTTTTGAGATTCCTCGTCTGACATCCGAAACACTTGCCAGTTTGAGTTCAGTTATACCTTCAGTTTCCTCACAATTTAAACTCAATCAAGACCTGCTCATCAATTGCCAACAACTAACTTTTGATGTTTCAATTTATAAATGTCTCAACTTCACCACCACCATTACTATAACTTTTGTACATTATCATAACATATAAATATCCAATTTATAAGAGCTTCTAAAGCTTCTGAACAATTTGATACCGCGTTTACTTTTAAAACTATTGCTTGTGAGTAATTTATGATATACAAAGCCAAGTTGTATTACATTGAGAGAACATGAGAAATAATCTCGATTCTGCATTGAATTAGTTGTTTAGAGCAGTCGACAAAGTGGGGGAGCCACCGTCTACGAGAGATGTGCAGTGTAAACAAAAACAACACTGCTTTGGGCGTTCGCTTTGGAGCGGCATGATTTTCACCGGTTTTCACCCTTCGTCATGTTGTGTGCTTTGGCCGTTTTCTCCCTTGTCGTCGGCATCTTCGTCTCCTGGATTCGCTTTCGAGCCAAGCAGCTGCCTGTGGATGTATCGCGCAATGTGCTCTTTGTTACTGCCCACCCCGATGACGAGTTGATGTTCTTCGGACCGACGCTACTTTCGGAGATACGAGCCCGCGCCGAGCGTCCGGGCGTCACCTCTACAAAGGTACACTTACTTTGCCTCTCGCAGGGTGATTTTTACGGCGATGGACATAGGCGAGGAAAGGAGCTTGCTGACGCCTGTCTCTATCTGTGCGGCGACACCAAACGCCATGCGGACGTGTTTCGGTTAGAAGTGCTCAATGATGAGCACCTTCCCGACTCGCCTGACGTTAACTGGCCAGCTGAAGCAGTGATAAAGCATGTTGTGGAGTACATCAGCGAGCACGAGATTACCAAGGTGATCACCTTTGACGCGTCTGGCGTCAGCTGTCACCCCAATCACCAGGCCATTCACCACGCGTTCAGCCAGCTGAAGGCCAAGTACATTCCAACTGCAGTTGAACTTTGGCAGCTGCAGACAGTGCCTCTCTGGCGCAAGTATTCCTCCTGGCTAGACGTACTCTTTACGTCTCTCCTTCAACAGCCCACCGACCGGCGGAGAACTTTGCCCATTCACCTGCTCACATTCAGCGAGTACCTGCACCTCTTCCAGTCGCTTCGCCGACACCGCAGTCAGATGCTCTGGTTTCGCTACCTCTACGCCGCCACCTCGCGATACATGCTCATCAACAGTCTAACTCAGTTAGACTAACTGCCATTAAGTAAACACACATGTTTTGTTTGTTTGTTTATTTTGATTGCCTTTGATAATATTTTATTTCATGTTTTGTATAACATAAGTATAGAATTATTGTCGTTCAATAGACTGTAATGAAAATAAATGTAGGTAATGATAATGATGTGTGAAAACAGAACAAGCAACAGTATTACAGAGAGTACCTGGGCTCACTCGGGGCGTTAGAAAAATATACAATATAAATGCGATATAGAGAGAAGAGACAGAGAGAGATTGATAAAGAACTTTGTCTTTAGCTGAACGGGGAAGCAAAAATAGAGGTGTGCTATGGCTGTGCTGCGTGCTCCAACTAATTAATCTGTCCACAGGCTGGTGAACAGTTTAACAGACAGTGAGCTTATTGCCGAAGTGCCCAAATGATGAAGGTGTGTGAAGGTAAGTTTATGGCCAAATGAAGGATTATGAGAGACGATGACTTTTTGGTGAGGGGGATGAAGATGAGGATGATGATGAGGCGAGAGGACAGGCTAGCTACCAGAGAATGGATGAAGGGGTGAGGGAGGATGTGGTGGAGATGACCAGATAAGAGGAGACCATTTGATGGTCGAGATGAAGAGAGAGAGACAGCATTATGATTATGCTTCAGATGATGAGGTCAAGAAGTGTATATACTTTTTGTTTTGGGATCGGAGAATGCGTAGCGACCACTGATAATTATTGGGAGATTATTACTGTAATCGTGGTGCGGTAGGCAGTGAGTGCAGAGAGTGGGTACTGAAAAAGTGAGATCAGCGGTGCATCCAACTGATTTGTGGACACTGGGTGCTAGACACTTCACTTCACTTCATGTTCTGCCACTTGAAGAAGGAGGAGATCGACGGTAGATCAAGACAGGAGAGATCAGGCAGGGCGGATGCTGCGCTGTTTGGGTTGAGGTTGAGGTTGCTGCTGCTGCCGATGTTGATATTGCTGCTGCTGATGTTGGCCCCTTCCACGGTCTCCATGCGAACATTGAGATTGGAGGGGACAGAGGTGGATGAGGAGGAGGCAAAATGAAAGGGTGCAGCAGTGCCGCTGCCGAGGCCAGTGCCACTGATCGCCAGCTTCTTCGACAGATCGCGAATGTCGGCATTGGCGGTGGCCAGCGTGAAGAGGCCCAGTCGCTGGGTGACCACTCGGTGGCCCAGTTCGCCGATGGTGCGCAGCTCGCTCAGTTTGGAGAGAATGCGCGAGAAGTAGTTGGGTTTCTTCTGCGCCTCGCAGTGGTACATCGTGTGGTCCTTCAGCGCACTGATGATCTTCGTCTCCAGCTCGTCCACTTTGCCGAGATCCTGGACGCCGCATCGACCTGATTCGGTGGGAGAGAGAGAGAAATAGTTGATGGTTAGAATGTGTTGTTCACATCTCACTGACTGCCAACTGCTTACCAGTGATGACGGTGAGTGCACTGAGACAGGCAAATGAGGATATGTCTAGCTCCATGGCGTTCAGTTGGTTGCTCAGCTCTTCAATCAGCGGTAGCCACTCGCCGAAGCTGGCGGCAAACTGATTGCGGTGCATTACAACGTTGTTGGAGAAGATGAAGTACAGCGAACCGGGTTTGATGCTGGGGAAAGAAGAATGGAGTTAGTGAGTAATGAAACAGGCTCCAGCGCTCCATGTATAGCTTACCGGTAGGCCATTCGCAGGGCAAACAACTCGAGACAGGAGTTCTGGAAGAGCACCTTCCGATCGTGCTCACTGAACTCATTAAAGCCCGGTATCTTCTCCATGAAGGCGTACAGGTTGTTCAACGACCGATTGAGCATCGTCAGCAGCTGACTGTCAATGTGCGTCTGTGCCTCCTCGCCGGCGAGGTTGACGCTGTCTGAATACTGACTGAAGTCCAGGTTCTGCTTGTCGTTGCTCGTGTCGATGTGCGCCTTCATCAGCGCAGTGATGGTCGTCATCGGCACGGCCGGCGCCGCTTCAGAGGCATTCTTTGGCTTCGACGGCAGACGGCCACGTCGGCCCTTCAGACTGTCCGTTCGCACCACTGTGAATGGGAGGTGTTTAGTATGTTTTGATGTTGACCTCTGCGACAAACTGCGACTTACCTTCTTTGACCATACCGACGCTAAGGCATTTCTGAAATCTACACGCCTGGCAGCGATTGCGTCGTCGCTTGTCCACAGTGCAGTCCTTGTTGCCCAGACAGGTGTACTTTGAGTTCTTCTGGACGGTGCGCTTGAAGAATCCTTTGCAGCCTAGGGAAACAACAAACAAATAGTTGTACAAAATTGATCAAAGAAAAGGGAGGGGTGGACTTACCTTCACAGGTGAGCACTCCGTAGTGCTGGCAGGCGGCGACATCACCGCAGACTGCGCAGATCTGCATAGCTGCCTTGTGAGGTCGGTTGAGGCCAGTGGTGCGCATCTTGCCACCACCACCGCCAGCATTGTTGCCGATTGGACTGTTGCGCGAGAAGAGGTTTGCCGAATGGGAGGAGGGGCTGCCACCGCAGGCGACACCACCTNTTGATCAAAGAAAAGGGAGGGGTGGACTTACCTTCACAGGTGAGCACTCCGTAGTGCTGGCAGGCGGCGACATCACCGCAGACTGCGCAGATCTGCATAGCTGCCTTGTGAGGTCGGTTGAGGCCAGTGGTGCGCATCTTGCCACCACCACCGCCAGCATTGTTGCCGATTGGACTGTTGCGCGAGAAGAGGTTTGCCGAATGGGAGGAGGGGCTGCCACCGCAGGCGACACCACCTCCCATCACCAGCGGATTGCTCAAGTTGTCTCCTACGGCAGAGGCAACGGAGTGGGCGGCAGAAGCAGAAGAGTGGGCAGAACCGGCGGCNGCCCATCACCAGCGGATTGCTCAAGTTGTCTCCTACGGCAGAGGCAACGGAGTGGGCGGCGGAAGCAGAAGAGTGGGCAGAACCGGCGGCGAGCAGTGACTGCATTCCCTGGATGGACGACAACAGCGGCATCGGAGCTGTTTGCTGAATGAGCTGCGCCTCAAAGTCCGCCAGGCGGTCCATTGAGGTGTCGTCCGATTCGAAGGGATCTGTGTCGAATGGAACTGCCTGGTCGCAGACTGACTGTTGTTGTTGCTGCTGCTGCATCACACTCATTGAGAGATTGTGCAGGTGGTAGCGCATTGGTTTCGGCGAGTCGGCTCGGAAGAGCATTGTGTCGGTCTCCTTAATCTGCTGTTCGTTGGTTTGCTGGGTAATCTCCTGCTTTGGTTGCTGCTGCTGCTGCTGTTGGACAAAGTTGCACAGTTGTGTTTGGTTGGTGTTTACGTTGGCGTTTAGGTTGGCTGAGGTGGACACAAAGCTGTCCATGGGCTCTTCTTTGAGGATGATATGCGGATGGAGGAGATCAAACTGACCGGAGGCAACTGATGCCGATGTGGTGGACACGGTTGCTGCTCCGTCGGTCAGCAGCTGTTCGCTGGGAAACTGCTCAATGGCCAGTTGCAGGGCGGCGGCGGCGGCAGCGCAGTTATCGTCAGCTTCGGCGCTGATGCAGCTGTTGTCAGAGAAAGCGTCCTCAAACTTGAAGAAGTCACCCGTGCAGTCAAAGTTGTTGTTGGTTTTCACGCCTCTCGGTGAGTAGATCTCACTGAAGCTAGGCAAGGTGGAGGCAGTGGAAGAGGTGGAGGAGGACGAGGACGAGGTCTGCGGGTGATAGGCGCCTGGGGTGGAAGGCGTCGAAGAGGAGCTGCTGCCTGATGCGCTGATGTTGTCGAACTGGGTAGTACTGCTGGTGATGGTGTTGCTGGAGATGCCGCAGCTGAAGACGTACGGAGAAGCTTTGCTGGTAAAAAGGCTGTTGTTACCGTTTCGGTGGTGGTGTTGGCTGCTGGAACTGCTGCTCACCAGCGAATTGGCAAAAGCGTTCTTGCTGAAGAGGCGACCGGTGTCCACTGACTGGATGATTCCACTCAGTCGTTCACTGCCTCCAAGCGCCGCCAGTTGATGTTGCTGCTGCTGCTGCCGCTGTGCTACTGCCGCCGCTTCCTGCAGTTGCTGCTGGTGCTGCTGGTGCTGTAGCTGAAGTTGCTGCAGTTGCTGGGTTTGTTGCTGATGCTGATGCTGATGCTGGTGGTGATGCTGCTCGAGAAGAGTGCTCGAGAGGACGGAGCTGCTGGAGAGAGTGCTGTAGTTGGACATGGACGTACTGCAGAAGAGTCGCTGCACTGACGGCGTCAAGGAGCTGAGGTCGTCGTCCTGCTCCTCACTGGAGGCGTCGCTCAGGTCGAGCTCGAGGAAGGAGGAATCGTCCTCCTCCTCCTCCTCCGCCAGGTAGCTCCCGTACAACAGGTCACTGCCGCTGATCAGCTGAGCGGAGTGGGCGCTGTGCTCGCTGAGCGGGCTGTGATGGCTAATGCTGCCGCTGCTGCTGCTGACTCCGCTGTTGCTGTTCTGGTCCTCCTGGTCACTGAAGAGCAGCTGGTCAATCTCCTCGAGGTCTAGGTCGTAGGCTTCGTCGGCGGCTGTGATTGCACTGCTCGCACTGGGGCTGCTGTTGTTGTTGTCAAAGGGCGTGAATGGCGTCAGTGGGTGGCTGCCAGCGGACAGGACATTGGAGTAGTGGTCGCAGCTGTCTGGGGTCGGTGTAAAGGACGAGTTCTGGCAAGAGGTTGGGGGAAGGAAAGAAGGGTGGTTAGTTGTGAATGTGAACCAGGCGGAAGAGAGTGTGATCGCGGCACTCGCGGGGGCGGGGCGGGTCTGTGTTGTTTGTCACTGCCCACTTCTGCATGAGCAAACAAGCACACACGCACACACATCGCCCTCGGTCGCCTTACCTCCACTAAAATCATCGTATCGTGCTCTGCAGGTGGCTGCTGCTGCGCTTTTGGTTCAGTGGAGTCTGAGTTTGTGAAAGAGAGAGTGAGATAGAGAGAAAGATGGTTCGGTTTGGTTTGGTTGGGGTTTGGCGATGGGTAGAAGAGAAAGATAGAGATAGAGAAAGGGGAGGTAGAAGCGACAGAGCGAGAGAAGAGTCACCTGCTGGCGAAAATAGAGTCGAAAGAAAAAGAGAAAAGAGGATAGTACATGACACGATTAGTTAGGAGAAAGTGATGAAGCTAGCTGAAGCAGACACGGCAACACTGCACCGAGCCAACAGCTCTACACTACTTGTTCTAGTGGGATGCTAAACTTGGTGCTAACTAGTTATTACCTGTCTACCGCACTAA